CAGGGCTTCTGTCTGAGCAGGCTTCGCTCGGCTGCAATCGCGGGCTCCCCGGAAAGCTGCGGGAATGAAAAGCCGGTCACAGCTCATTGTTTGCAGTGGGTTGGTTTAATGTTTAAGCAGTTAAATGGGAAACGCCGTGCGGGCAGCTGGGAAACCAGCTGTCGTTTATGAGTTTCAGGGTGCGCATCGAGTTCGTGTCCCAGTGATTCCTCGCTTTCTTGCTTTTCTGGAAAACTTCACAAGAGCAATGCCCGCACTAAGTAGCCAGGATCCGTTGAGAACTTCGTCATATTCAATTTTTCAGGTGGTGTGAAAGCGCAAGGGAAGACCGGAGTTGTGTTTGAACACTGGGGCGGTAGTTCTTGGGACCCCGGGAGCAGAAATGCCATTATTTTGATTTTTCTGTGTGTCACAGCCCGAGTGGTGCTCGCCAGTGTTGCAGCTTCCTCTAGTGGCCACGCCTGAAATGGTTTCGGAGGAGAAACCAGTGTTGGGTTGAAAGATGAGGACATCTGGGTTCAAGCTTGCTCTTTCCTGCAGTTCTTTGATCTGGGTGATGGGCAGAGGGATCCCATCTGAAACCCCCTGGAGCCTTTCCTTGTTCCTCTCTTCTTCTGTTTGAAAGTTCTGTTTATGCAGTATGTTCTGTCTTTATGGCACCTGGTAAAGATGGATCATACAGATTTTGCTTTGAGCCTGACATGCAAGTTTGCTGGACTTTCCCAGTGGATGCATACTAATACCCATGTGCATGCTTACTTGGGTAGGAAACTAACCTCGGGATACAGAATCACAGAATGTTTGGGGTTGGCAGGGCCCTCTGTGGGTCACCCAGCCCAACCCCCTGCCCAAGCAGGGTCACCCAGAGCAGGCTGCACAGCACCGCGGCCAGGCGGGTCTGGAATATCTCCAGAGAAGGAGACTCCACAGCCTCCCTGGGCAGCCTGGGCCAGGGCTCCGTCACCCTCAGAGGGAAGAAGTTCTTCCTCATCTTCAGCTGGAACTTCCTCTGCTTCAGTTTGTGCCCGTTGCCCCGTGTCCTGTCGCTGGCACCACTGAAAAGAGTCTGGCCCCGTCCTCCTGACACCCACCCTGCAGATATTTTTTCTAAGGTCCCCTCTCAGCCTTCTCTTCTCCAGGCTGAACAAGCCCAGCTCCCTCAGCCTCTCCTCATAGGAGAGATGCTCCAGTCCCCTCATCATCATCGTAGCCCTCCGCTGGACTCTCTCCAGTAGCTCCTCATCTTTCTTGAGCTGAGGAGCCCAGAACTGGACACAGCACTGCAGATGGGGCCTCACTGGGGCAGAGTAGAGGGGGAGGACAACCTCCCTCGACCTGCTGGCCACACTGCTCTGCACCCCAGGAGACCATTGGCCTTCTTGGCAGCCAGGGCACACTGCTGGCTCATGGTCAACTTGTCATCATACGCAGTGACTCCTCCCGTCCCTTCCACCATGGAGCCTCCCCCACAGTGAAGACCTCTTCTGCAGAGCAGAACCCCTTACCCTGTGTGGCTGCCTCCATAAATCTGGTTTTGGGTTAAGAAGGATCCATCCAGGGCTCTGTGCACCCAACTGAGGCATCACAGGTGATCGGCAGGAAATGAATGAGCCCGTGCACGTCTGGAACCTGCCCTGGAGCTGCGAGTTCTCTTATTCTCCCAAGCTTGCTTCTGCGAGGCAGATGGTTCGCCTCGGCGTTTTGTCTGTGAATTGGTAACTTGGAAAAAAGGAGC